AAGAATTTCTAAATTTTAAATGTTTTAAAAGCTGTAAGAGTTGGCTCCAAAGCAAACAAGCACAGCTGGCGACTCCATAGTTAACCTATGGATTGTCACATCTGTTTGGAAAGTGGCCACAGCAGCATCTCTCCCCAGAGTAGTCTCAGTATTGTGATTATGCCTGTATGTTAAGAATTTCTAAATTTTAAATGTTTTAAAAGCTGTAAGAGTTGGCTCCAAAGCAAAACAAGCACAGCTTGGCTGACTCCATAGTTAAACCTATGGATGTCACATCTGTTTTGGAAAGTGGGCCACAGAGCATCTCTCCCCAGAGTAGGTCTCAGTATTGTGATTATGGATTCAGAGATAAGATGAGTATTTATATATAGGCACAGAGACAAAGTATACTATTGCAGAGTAGTATTCAAAAGTTATAAACTAGATTATTACAAACAGCAACATGGGTGGGCCTTTAAAATAATAGTATTTAGCAAAGCAACAGAAGAGACAGAATTAGGTAAGTAACATAATAGCAAAGTCACAAACTTAAAATTATAATACACGCACATACAAGGTCACATGTGAACAAAAAAATAAATTTCAGAATTTTTATATTGGAGGCAAATAGTGAAAATGAAGAGAAATTTCAAGGAGAGAGACAGACAGCAGTGACAGAGACAGACAATGGCTTTGAAGGCTGGTGGAGAGGCTCAAGGGGTAAATGTTTCTGCCTAGCAAGTGTGAGGCCCTGAGTTCAAACTCCAGTGCCTACAAAAAAAGAAGGGCCCTGAAGCCAGCTGCTGGTGGCTCACACTTATAATCCTAGCTGCTTGGGAGGCCGAGATCAGGAGGATCACAATTCAAGGCCAGCTCAGGCAAGTACTTCACAAGACCCCATCTCCAAACATAACCAGAGAAAACTGGACTGGAGGCATGGCTCAAGTGGTAGAGTGTGTGCTTTATAAACATGAAGCTCTGAGTTCAAATGCTGTAACACCAAAAAATGAAAGTGACTTGAGCAGACAATGGATGATAACTATGCCAGAAACTATGAAATATGATTAATTCAACCTTCTTTGCCTTGAAATTAAAAGGAAAAAAAGAAAGCTCATCAAGGTTGCCAATAATGTCCATTTTGCCAAATCTAGCCACCATCTTTTTGACCTCATATTCCCAGAATTCTTGGTAGCATTGGACACAGCTGACTACACCAACTTTCTTAAAATGTTTTTCCTGTAATATTATTTCCCTTCTCTACTTGAAAATTTCCAGTGGTTTCTAGTTTCATTTGCAATAAAATCCAAACTCCTCGTAGCCATTCCGTGGTCTGGCCCCACTTTCACACTCAAATTTCATCTTTTATCACTTTACCTTCTTGTACACTGCACTGCAGGCTCACTTGCCTTTCTTCCAGTGCTCCCAGCTCACTCCCTAGACTATCCACTTGCTTTTCTCACTCTCTTCCTTTGGCTGTTTCCAAGACATTCTGGTCTTTGCACTAATGTTGTCAAGAAGGTATGAATAACTTGGCAGCTTGCTCTCACAGAATATGTCATATAATTTTTGTATGTACGCACACAAGCATACAGGATCTGATCTTATACATATAGTTAAGTAACATTAGAGATACTCTTTGACTAGGAATTTACTTTGACCTCTTCCCAGCCCCCTTTGGGGCCCCAATATTCAACAAGACTATTTAGGATTTTCCAAATTCTTATAGAAATGCATAGGTAGACATCTTCTACCCCAGCAATAAAATTATTTTTTCCTCTCCTGTTTAGTGTTTAACTGTTAAGTTGTACATTGCTTCAAACTGGTGTTTGCAACCATTTGGAGGGTTAGGAAATTAACTTTGAGGTCACAAGTAGCATTTGAAAAACATGAAATAGATGAGAACACAATATAACAGGGAATATCAACATGCACATACCAACCCTGATCTAGAACTACTGATGGCTTATCTGTTGGTAAAGATCAGGGTTTGGGTCAGGGAGGGTGGGATGAATTCACACACTGGAATTCCTGGGGTCATGTGTTGGGCAAATACTATTGTACAGCCTAATTTTATATTATCACTACTCCTTGTAACTTATGAAATGAAGTACATTGGAATTTTATTTGCTGCTGGAAAACCCAGAATTTACAAGTAAGTTCCAATGAAGAACTTTTAAGTATGTTTTTGGGAAAAAAGGATGTCACCAGTGTGGTATCTGTGTGTCGACTGTAATACAGTACTCAAAATAATACAAAATGCTCTCAAAGAAGTTGTTTTATTAATAGAAGAAAAGGAAATACGAAAAGTGAAAAATACAGAAACATGACCAAATTTAACTGTTGGATTAGAATTGTAAATAATGAAAATATTGAGAAAATCAGTAGATGTTGATTTTATAACTAGCTCTAAAAAGGAAAACTGCATTTTCCTGCAAATGAAAGCTTACTACTGTCAAGGACATCTGAAGCTTCAACAGGATGTCAATAAGTACCTCAATTACATCCTTAAGAAAAGATGCGATTCTTCAGTTGTTCCACAATCTTAAAAAGAAAGACAATCTTTGCATTAAGTTGTCTCCTGATGTGGCAAAAGGAAAATGGATCATACTTGGGACCCCAAATCTCTTTGTCCAGCACTGATGGGTATAGTAAATGAAAAAACTGTACTTCTTGGTGAGGTCATCATATCAACTCTCTAATCACAGAATATTAAGAAGCTACTAATACAAGTTGCAGAACGCTTTTATACCAAATATATGTAGCAAGACAATTGTATAGAATTATTATTGTCTGTAGAGAGAAAAATAAATTCAGAATTAGAAAATAGCATTTAGGTCAATAAAGACTAAACTATACAATTTATAATGGAATTTCAAATGATGGAACAGAAAAATGATCAATGTGTACAGATGCAAAAATTGTAACAAACTACAAAAACAAGATCATTTGAAACACTAGATAAAAACAAACATGTAAGATTATTTGGTTTTCAAAACTTAAAAAATTGGATTCAATTTGGTGTTCCATGAATATATTATTACAATTTAATACTTCATTTACACAGAAATAATGATGCCATCCTTGAAACTTATCAGGTTGGATAAAGATTAAAGAATTTATTGCTAGGAAAAACATGGGATACATATTATGATGCCTAAGTATGCGAACTAGGAGTTTTGACCCATTTATAAGATAAAGGTCAAGTTCAACAGTAGGCTGTATGTGTATGTTGACATGTCCTTATGCGTTCTGGACTGGAATAAACTTCCAAAAGTGATATTGCCTGAAATGTTTCCTAATTTGTTTCATTTATGATTTGTTCCTACATTATATTGCAAAATATTTTATTCTTGTATCAATATTAATTTTACTCTACACAGTAAAGTACTGTCAAAATTGTACTTCAAGTATGTACATGTATGTACATTGGGTTACAAGGTAACATTTATTTCTTACTGTGGGTTGTGGTTCAAAAAATTGGAAACACGGGGCTGGAGGTGTGGCTGAAGAGGTAAAACACTTGTCTAGCAAGTGTGAAACCCTGAGTTCAAACCACAGTGCAGCCACACACAAATTTTTTTTTTTTTTTTAAAAACACCCACTGAGTTAGAAGCTAGCAGAAGATAATGAGTAAGTGACACACCTGAAGATGGTTTGGCCCAAGGACCAAGAGTTTGCAGTCTCTGGGCTAAATTGTAGAGGACGTTAAATATGAGTTTAGGTACAGAAATTGCTTTGTAGGTGAATAGTAACTAAGAGAACAATACAATAAAAAGTGCTTTGGAAGCACTTTTAATATGGCCCCATTGCAAGACTGACAGAAATAGAGTCTGAGGGCAAAAAGGTCATTTAAGTGTTGCTAAGACAGTCCAAAAATGGGACTCTTAATAGGAATCAGAAGAGGAGAGCAGTAGGAGAGGAAATGAACGGTGCCAAGGACGTGGGGGAGGGATGAGAGCATTTTGAGCTAGAAGAATCTTTGGAATCATCATTCCACCACCATCTTGGTACAAATTGGGAAAGTAATAGTCGGGCAAAAACCTGAACCTGCTCAGAATGTCTATGAGGTCACATGACTCAAGAGACTTCAACAGTCAATCTAGTTAATGCATCTAACAGAAGGGTTGGGTTCCCTTGAGGATGTGGTGAGCGAGCCCTCAAATTTACTTTCTATTGAGTGGAGTAAAACGGCCAGTAATTATCATCCTTTAAAGTCTGAAATCCAATTAATCACAGGTGCGCCAACAAGGCGTGCCCAATCAACGCCTGGAATGCATCATTTACCTTCTTTCACGTCCCTAAACCACCACCAATCCCTCCTAGGAAGTTTGAATTCTATTGATTTCAACAGGATAGGCCTTACGAATGAACCGAGAACCTTTTATTTGCTTGTTCAATTTTCCGAAAGCGGGGCGTTATGGAGCGTTTCACTACCGTGCCCACCGCGACCGCGCGAGGAAAGCAGGATTTGGTGTGGGCAGGGGAGGCGTGTGGGAGTCTGCGTGGCGCTTTCTAAAGGGACGCCATGTGGATGAGTCCGGCTGAAGCTGGCCATTTCGGGTTTTTTTCCCTGGAAATTTCGGGCTGCCAGGCACTACGGCCAGTCTTCCAAGACCCTGTTCCCTTGAAGGTGTCCGCCTTGAATACCTAGTTGACAACCTCAACTGCTCCACGCGGACAGCGGAAGGCAAGCCTCGGGCGGAACCCGGCGCCATGGCTGGGTCGGTCTCAGGCACATCCAGGGCACTCGCCCTGGGAGAGCTCCAAGCGCGCTTCGGTTTCCGGGTCCAAATAGGAAGCTACACGAGAAACCTCGGACTCCTCCCTGGGAGGAAAGGAGCAGACAGCGTCCCCGTCTCCAAGGAAACGGGCCGTGTCGTGACATCACTTCCGCCGACCTGTCTGGACTCCAGACTGTTGAGAGGAAAAGAGGAAAACTGAGCAACAGCCACGACGGTGAACGCGAGCGTCTGCTCTCTGCGCATGCGCCCGCTCAGCGGCCTGCTTCTATTTATGTGGGGGATCCAACATGGCGGCTGCGGCGACCCTGGCGATGGCGGTGGAGCCCATGAGAACAGAGTAGCGGGGAAGGGGGCACGGTCCGCACTCACGGTGGCGCCGGCGGAGACTGCTGAGGGTGGTGGAGGGAAGAAAAGCGACGGAGAGGCAGAGGAAGGGCGGGCAGGCACGCAGCGCGACGTAGAAGCGAGCGCCGGCTCGAGCGAAAGCGGAGAGCCAGAACAGTGGGGATGGCGGAGCCGCGCAGAGTAGCGTTCATTAGCCTGTCACCGGTGAGGCGGCGCGAGGCCGAGTACCCGGGGACGGAGCGCGAGCCCGAGTACCTCCGGGAACCCCCCCGCCTGGAGCCGCAGCCGTACCGCGAGCCGGCCCGGGTGGAGCCGCCCGCCCCGCGGGAGCCAGCCCCCCGCTCGGACGCGCAGCCCCCGCCGCGGGAGAAGCCGCTCCCCCAGCGCGAGGTCAGCCGCGCCGAGCCGCCCATGTCGCTGCAGCGCGAACCCCCGCGGCCCGAGCCGCCGCCGCCGCCGCCGCCGCCGCTCCCGCAGCTGCCCCTACAGCCGCCCCCGCCGCGGGAGTCGGCTTCGCGGGCCGAGCGGCCGCCGCGGCCGCCGCGGGAGACGGTGCGCCTGGAGCTGGTGCTCAAGGACCCCACGGACGAGAGCTGCGTGGAGTTCAGCTACCCGGAGCTGCTGCTGTGCGGAGAACAACGGGTACAGAGGATTCCTCCCTCCCGCCCTAGACCCCGGGAGCCTTCTCCGGACCCGCCGCCTCCCCGAGCTGGTTTGCACATTCGGATGCCCCCACCCCACCCCGCCCCCAATCCCAATCGCCGGGCTCGTCCAGGTCGCCCCAGGGTGGGCCGAACGGGGAGAGGGGGCGGGAGCATTGCCAGCTCGGGTCCCCCCACTCCCCGGGTGGCCGAGGCTCGCTCTGCCCCCGACACGCGCCCTGCCTGTTTCCCTCTGCACCTTTCGAAACCTCACGTTTTCCTCCTTTCCCTTTCTGTTCCCCGCACGAAATCCTGGGGCCCCGCGAGCGATGCGGCTGGGCTCTCGTTGCGGCGCTCGAGCTGCGGTTCCTGTAGAAGGGAAGCTAAACCCTTGGGGGGACACGCCCCCCGGTCTGAAGCGGGGAGATGGTGCAACCTCTCTGTTCATCCTCATCCCTGTCTGTCGTGCAGGGCGCCGAGGCTGCTGAGATGCTTGCGTGCTGGTGGCTTTTTTTCCCTCCCCTCTTGATTGAAGGGGATTTAAGAGTAATTAGATATCTTTAGAGAGTAAGGATCCCCTTTAGGCATGGAGAGGTGGTCAGTTATCTGGTTAGTATTGGTAAATCTTTTTAGCTGTGTGTGTGTGTGTGTGTGTGTGTGTGTGTGTGGCGTTTGGTCATATTGTCGCGGAATAGGAAGGTGTCTCTCCTGTCTAACTGGGCATCCGCCCATGGTATTCTTATTTGAGCGTGTCACGTTATTGATCCGAGTTAGAGAATATTGTATTTGGCCACTGTAATTTTTGGAGAACGAAGAATAAATCCTGGCTTTGAATTTTTAAAAACTTTTTGAAAATATGTAGGTGTGCCTTTGATGGAACTGGTGAACAATGGGGCTTAGGACAGCGGTTTGTTGGTATTTGTAATTTTTATTGTTGTGGGTTGGTGATCTTTAGGAGTAAGAAAGGGAGATAAAATAAAAACAGAACACCGCCCTCTGTTTAGTGATTATGGTTTTTATTAGGTTGTGCTTTTTAGCAGAAGTCACTTGTGTTCTTTTTTTCATCCTCAGCTATCTTTGTAGTTGAATGACTCCTTAGTCAAAATGTATCACATTAAGCAGTGTCACTAGATACTGTTTATTTTGTAGCCAGCTAATCTTTGATCATTAGTAACAAATACTGTTGTGTGGTCAAATCATTACTGAATGGTTCAGTCAAATCGAATTGACTATTTTGGTTAGTTTCACATAACATTTGGCTCTCTAGATGTACTTTAGTGCCCTCTTCATAAACGTGATGTCTTTTTTTTTTTTTCCAAACTAGATTCTTGAAAATAGTGAATTGGAGCATTTTTTTCCCCAAGTAAGTTGTATTTGACCTGCTGATCTAAGAAGGTTTGCAGTTTTTATAATTTTCGTGAGTTACAGGTTCAAAATATCTTTGGGTAATGCTAGGAAGCGGTTCACTGAGTTCTTACTTTGTTCTGGACACTGCCATAAGCAGTTTACAGGATTTATCTAGTTTAATCCAGCAGAACTCTGTTTAACAAATGAAGTTAACATCCAGAGTGGTTATACTTAATTTTATTAGTACTTATTGTCATTGTAGTACCAATGCTTAGTAAAACTATATGTCCTACAGTTAACTGGTACAGTTTAAATTTAGAGGATCCTTGACAATATGTAGTTAGTCATAGTAGAAATGTAGAGACCACTGTTAGGACTCTGCGCTGTAATGCTCATGCCAAGAAAATTAATAGTAGATTTGTGTCTTTTTAATTACAAAATGAAAAGTTCGGGGAAAAAGTTCATTTTGATGCCCTAGCTTGTTAACTTTGATAATACCAGAACTGTTGCAATCCTTCGGTACTTTAGGGCAGGGTACATTCTGAAAAATGTGTTATTAGACATTTCCATCACTGTGTAAACATTGTAGAATGTACCTACAGGAACCGAGATGGTATAACCTACCTAGCTGGGCAATATAGTGTATACCATTGTATACATAGTCTGTGTTGACCAAAACATTGTTCTGTGGAGCAAGACTGTACTTTTATGTTCTAGGAGAAAGATGGGTAATTCTGTTCAATTTTTATGTTTACTTTATACATATATCAATTTAGGGGCGTCTTGGCCTAATTTTCTCATGGTGTATTCGGCTACATATCTTTTGACATGCCACACACAAAAAAGAGCTCCATACAGCATGTCTTTGTAGCTAATTACTTCCAGCTAATGTACTGATTACATAAGAAAGTATAACAAAATCCCTGTTTAGGTAAAATTGTTATAGTTTCATGAAAGGAAAGCCTAGAAGATTGGAAAGCAAAAGGCGTACATTAGAATTGGCCTGGAAAATAGTGATTCCCCAAATTTGGGTTTTCTTCCCTTTTCCCTTTGGGAAAAGACCAGTTATTTTTAAAAATGTAATATTTCCAAGCTACTTTTAATTTTGAGATCTTGTAATTGTATTGCTGAATAGAAAGGGGAAGAGGAGCTCTTACAAAATTAGAAGGAAAAAAAGTCTCTAAATTTTTTAAATAGCCTTCTATCAAGCTAGCTCTAGATTCCAAGGTTCATATATGTGGGGCTGTAAAAAAGAAAAAAAAAAAAGTGTTCTGTATAGATTCCATCTACATTGGGATGCATTTCATCAGCCCGCTTCATACATGCTAAATGAAGAGTAAAAGCCCTAAGTAACTGAAACATAATTTTTCTCTGCTATGTTTATGAGAAAAGCGTAATTAAATAACATGTCTTCGTTAAATATGAAGAACAAAACTTCCTTCCTGGCTGGTAGGATGCAGGTTAGCTAAATCCTTAACCTCTTTATCTCTGTGCAGCGCTGTGCTGTGATTGAGGTGGCCTGCATGATGACTGAGGCATTGCAATAATTTCTCTCCTGAAAGATTTAATTTGTTCACCATTTCTGGATAAAGGATGATAGTGCACTTTAGAAATAAGTTTAGGCGATGGTTGATATAAGAAAAAAAAAATTAACTCTTAGTAAACCAGAGCACCCGTTTGAGAACTAATTGAATATTTACTATAAAGAGAAAAATAAGGGATTATTGTGTTAATGTAACTATATTGTTACAGAAGCCTGTGGTACTCCATTGCTGTCGTATTGCATATGTTGGGTAAGATGTATGAAAGATTTGCAAATGGTGTTAATAATATCAAAGGACAAAATTGTTCATTTTATGTATGAGTAGTTAATTTTCTTACACGAAGAAGCTTCCATAATTTTAATTGGGAGATGGGAGTTATTCTTAAAAGAAAAGTGAGTCTGTTTTCTTTAATTTCATAGACCACGAAGTGTAAATAAGAGGTGTACTTTTGATGTCTGTATAAAGTACAATAAAATATTTTAGCATGACATATAAAGCTGCTTCTTACTAAAATGTAGGTTCATGTGTTTGTATTTACATATATAAGATGAGTCAGACCTAGTACTTGACGTCACAATTACATGATGGGCAGTTTATACCCATATATATGATAACAAAACACTGATTGCTCACTGTTCTAACTTCAGCCTCAAATGAAGGCTGTCCCCTGAACATGACTAGCATTCTTTATTTTCTTACCAGTCTCTGCTTGCTAGTTTATTTCCTTTTAGAGTATGTTTATATTTTCCATTCACAATTCTAATTAGGATAAGGGAGTCTATATGTTTATTACTTATTACAATTTTGAAAATTGATTATAAAAATTGTTTTAAAATTTTAAGGAACAGCTTTGTTCTAGTGTCCTATTATGACATGTTGAATATGTCTGCGTATGAATATGTATGATGGATTGTTTTGTATTCATTCTGTCCATATTTTCCTGACATGTGTTTTAGGCTGATCATATCTCAGCCTTTATATCTAGGAAGAAGTGCCTCCATTCCAAATCTTTGTCTCTTCTGCGTTTTTTTTTCTCCTTGCCCTTGACTGTCAGCCAAATCTATCCAGTATATTGGCCGTAATATACTTTCAGTTGTAATTACATGAAGCTGCTACTTTAGTAAAAACATTTAGCCTTTCTAAAAATTTATTTTCAAGTCAGTTGTCTGAAATTGGATAAAAATAGTATTTAAGTAGCTCCTTTTTTTAAATATAAGAACCACATATAAAATGGTACTACTAAAATAGCATGTGACTTATCTGTTTTGGCAAATATATGGTAAATGTGACATACTATTTCATTGTGTTTCTGTGTGTATGTTAAGCTATATATTTTATAATAAACTTTCACTCTCCCCTGCAAGAAGGAAGTCATGGTAATGTAAATCTTTTTGCAACTCTTGCATTCTCCTAGCTTTGTATAAAATTAGTGTGTATTCCCTGGTGACTATCCATTGACAGGACGTAGTTGATGTAGAAATTGTTGATTCTGGGTCTTAGCAGAAAGGCAAAGGTAGCTGCAGATACTTGAGTGGTAATTCATAGGCAGTCAATTAAACGTTGACTATAATTAATTATTTGGAGATTTTTTTCCTAACCAAAGCAGATAATCTTTGTTAGAGATGATGTCATAGCTACAGTTATATATGTTTTCATTTTTACCTAATGTGTGGGGGAGTGATTGATCATTTTTCAGGTAGAATCAATTTGGGTTATTGAGTTTGTGACCACCAAAAAAAACTATGGAATTTGTATGTCTATTAAAACTGCAAATATTGCCAGGTGCTGGTGGCTCACACCTGTAATCCTAGCTATTTGGGAAGCTCAGGTTGGGAGGAACATGATTCAAGGCCAGCCTGGGCAAACAGTTCTCAATACCCAATCTCCAAAATAACCAAGCAAAATGGACTGGATGTGTGGCTTAAATAGAGCAGCTGCTTTGCAGGTGCAAAGTCCTGAGTTCAAACCTCAGCCAGTCCCACAAAAAAAAAAAAAAGGAGAACCTACACATTTTTTTGTTATGAATCAACATTTCTTTTTATTTTTAATGCTTCTCTCTTTCTGTTAGTATTAGGAAAAATGGACTCATTATTGATAAAATTTAATTCAACTCTGAATAATAATTGAAGTACTTATAAAATATGTAATGTTATCGAATATATCATTGATATGTTATTGAATATAATTATATATTTAATTATGGTGAAATATAATTGCCATAATTATTATTATGTAATATTAGTAGCAATAATAATTATGTATTATTAGTAGCAATAATAGTTGAAGTAATACTAATATTTCTATTTTTTCTCCCATTTACTATGAATCAGAAGAAGCTGGTTCAGACAGAAGACCCATTTAATGATGCGCATCAGGAGAGGCAAGAAGTGGAAATGTTGGCTAAGAAATTTGAAATGAAATATGTGAGTATAATAAGCAGTGTTCACCTACATGATTTGGTCCTGTTGGCCTATTTTCTTTCTATGACTGACTGGTTAGGAGGGCCATACCATTGCTTGCTTTGTCTTGTTCTCACAAATTGAAGCTAAGTGAATGGTTAGACAGTCAGATAATGAGTTTGCTAGTTTGTAGTGGCTTTGGTAGTGTCCACCATTTCTTACAGTCTTTCTAGAGTCCAGGGAGTTTGCCTTATGTATATCATCACGTTTTACAGATGAAGAAACTGAGGCTCTGAGTCCAAGGTTAAATAATCTATGACCATACAGTAGCAAGTACAAGCAACACATTCAGGTCTGTGTAGCTCTGACCTGAGCCCTTCTTATTACTATGGATGGTTCTCAAAACATCCTGCCTCTTAAAAGTTTAAGACAGCAAGTGTAGTTACCATACTTCTCGGATCCTTGGATCAGACTCAGAAGCAGCATGAAACTTCTTTGAAAGTGTCCCATTTACCTTAAATATTTATGTAAGTCCTATATTCTGTGCCACATATTTGAGGGGTTTTTTGTTTGTTTGTTTGTTTTTTGTGGTACAGGGGCTTGAACTCAGGCCTTCACCTACTCCACCAGCCCTGTTTTTGTGAAAGGTTTTTTAAGATAGGGTCTCGAGAACTATTTGCCTGGGCTGGCTTTGAACCTTGAGCCTCCTGATTGCTGCCTCCCAAGTAGCTAGGATTACAGACATGTGCCACCAGCTCCTGGCTTTGGTTTTTGTTTTAGTACAAAAATAATTTTTATGGAGGGGGTGAATTCAACTATGAAATATTGTTAAGAACTTTGATATTTTGGACAGGAGTTTGAACTCAGGGCTTTGCACTTGCAAAGCAGGCATTCTACTGCTTGAGCTATGCCTCCAGCTCATTTTACTCTGATTATTTTGGCGATGGAGTCTGGCCTGGAACCACGATCCTCCCAATCTCAGCCTCCCAAGTAGCTAAGATTACAAGCATGAGCCATTAGCACCTAGTGGATTTTTGAGGAGGTTTTTGTTTGTTTGTTTGTTTTTTTGAGGGACATGAATTGTTGTAACAAAATACACACATGTACATCCAGAGGAAAAATCTGGAAGAGTATAATAAGACCATTGCTTATCTGTATCTTGCTTTCTTCCTACATTAAAAATGTATTATTTAATTATAGAAGTAAATGTAACTATGTTTTGAGATATATATGTACATATAGAAAAGAGATAATAAAAAGAGTAATACTAACCTTTCATTAAAAAAAAAAAAAAAGAAGAACTTTGATAAGTATCACAGTGTACCCCCAGCCCAACAATAATAAAAGTTTTTAAAAAGGGTCTTAATGAATGAAAAAAAGTAATTTTTAATTATCTGGTTGCTGCTTTTATTTCTCAAATTTTCTAGTATAATTAACTGTTGGAAACTCCACCCCCAACCCTATGTTTATTCTTTGACTTTACTCCTCTTGGCACTTTGCTGAAACATACCCCAGTTGAGAAGCAAGATTGTACCCCTTCCTTCTGGTTCCTCCCAAGAGCATTAAGAATTGTTTCACAAAGATAGGATATCAGCTCACAGTACTCTTGCCATTCATATTATTCTCAAAATGCAACTAGAATCTGGGTTGACACTTGCTGGCTTTTGTGGCAATTAAGAAACCCTTTTTGGGGTGAGAGACGTAGTTGACAGTATATTGGAATTTGAATTAGGTTCTAAGCTTGCCTTATTACCTTTAAATTGTGTCCTTTGGATGGGATTTTTTTGCTCTTTGGTCCATAGTCTTAATCTGTGAACTAAGAGGTTTGAGATTTTTCCAAGACCCTAAGAGCCTTTATTCTGTTCATTTAATTATATGGCTGAACTGTGGATGTTTTAGTAGAAGGGATAGCAAAAATTGTTACTCTAATTTGTAAGTGTTTAATAACAATATAATCTTCTGAGATTATACTGTATCACAATGTGTAAATACTGAAATACTGATTGTATTTTCATACAAGTTATACAGTGGTTTAATTTAATATTTTAACAAAGCAGTACATGGGTTGATATGTAAAAAAAAGTACAGTGGCACATTTTTTTCTTTAATTGTTTTGTCCATCCACCTAATCCTATTTCCTAGGCAAGGAACATTTTGGGTGAGTTCTAGAGATATTATATTTTTGTTATTATTCTTGTATATCTCTATATCATCCATTTCACTGCCACCTCCTTTTTACACATGCTATAGAATACTGTACACACATTTGCACTTTACTTTCTGCATTTACTGTATCTTAGAGAATTTTCTCCCATTCCTCAGACCAGAGAGGGCTTTCTCTCTATGTCTTGTTTTGCAGAGGCTGCATGGTATTTCATCGTATGGAAATACCACAGTTTATTTAATCAGTCCTCCAAATGATTTAGGTATAAAACTTAGCTTTAGGCAAGGTGGCACACGCCTGTCATTCCAGCACTCCAGAGACTGAAGCTGGAGAATTGCAAGTTTGAGGCCAGCCTGGGCTACATAGCCAAATCCTCTTTCAAAAATAACCATAAAATAAAATTTAAAGTTGCTGCTATGAATGTGCTGTAGTACTTTGTAAACTGTTATTCACACATTTTCAAGTTTAATCTGGACGAATTCCTAGAAATGGAAGATTTAAGTCAGTGGATTTTTGCTGTCATAATTTTGCTATTTATCACCAAATTGCCAGTGTCTTTTTTGCCGTGAATTATAAAACCAAGAGTTATAATTGCATTTGCAAACAGGAAAATTCCTAACACATGATCCTGTAAGTAATGTGACTTAGTTTAGGAAATACTACTCCTGAGGCAGCATTAAATCTGACCTGTAGGACAGTACTTGGCATAGAAAAACCTATTTCTGAAGTTGTGTGATATGTGAAATTGAGTTCTAAACAACTTGGATATATCTAGAGATTGGCATTGTGCAGGAATAAAATACTCTTATTAAAATCCAGATTAATGTACTGTTTCTTAGATTTTTATTTTTTCACTATAATTTCTAATTAGAGATTTGAAATATCTTGCATCGTAAAGTATTATATCTGTGAGTGTTAAATATATAAAAACAAATTATCTGGAAACTTTTAAAAAATTCTTTAGGCCAAAAGAAACCTGACAGAAGATAAGGCATGATGGCGCATGCCTGTCATCCAAGGAACTCTTGATCCTTCAAGTTTGACACCAGGCCGGGCCACAGGGAGACTCCATTTCAAAAATAAACAAACAAACAAATATAAAGTCTCTCTTAAGCAGATATTCAGGGGTATCAAGTTGAGTTGAAAATCAAAATATAGAGAGTATAAAATTATAAAGGAGCACTATATATTGAATTCATGGGGTTTTCCTCCATTTTATGGCATATCCTGTTTCCTTTTTTGTTGCTTGTAATGCTTAGATAATGTGACAGTTGAGGGCTGGTAGAGTGGCTCAAGTAGTAGAACTCTTGCCTAGCAAATTTGAGGCCCTGAGTTCAAACCCCAGTACCACAAAAAAAAAAAAAAAAAAAGACCATATTTGGCAGCAGTTGTTAAATTTTTTGGAGGGTAAAGTATAATATGACTATTAAGTACTTACTTGTACCCGTACCACACTAAATTGAGCATTGTATATAAATCTTGCTAAATAGCTGAGTCCAAATTTTGATACTTCTTCTATTATCTAAGATCCAAATAAGTCTTCTTGGTTACTAAAGGAAAGAAGCAGGATTCAGTTAAAAGAGGCTCCCATGCTTTCCTCCCACATCCTGTTAAAGCTCCAGATGTTTAGGCTATACAACCCAGGTTCCAACTCAGTTTTTGAAGTATTCAGGGGAATATGAGTAGGCTATATGTAAATACTTCATTTGAGCACCTGTGGGTTGTGGCATCTGTAAGGGGTCCTGGAACCAATCCAGGATACTGAGGGGATGACTGTGTAGTAAAACAATAAAATAAGCTTTTTAAACATATTGGAGAGGAGAGGGGGGTCTTAAGTAAAAGGAAAAGAAGAATTCCTGGCTGAAATAGTAGCTTTTTTTTTTTTTGATTGAAGGTACCAGTTCTGATCACTTGCAATGGCATGCTTTTTTAATTCTGTGACCTCTTTGAGCTAAGTAAATTCTTTTCCTTATACCCCTGTTGAACTATTAAGAATCAACACTTTTAGGGTATTTGGGAAGAACCACTATAAGTGGTGATTATAGAAATCTGTGTCTATTGTTTCTCTGCTGTATAGTCAGCCTGGACTGTCTTTTCATTGACTTAAAATTTTACCCCTTTCCATTGATAGGTTGAAGAAATTAGCATAGATGGAAAGAGATAAGATTGTTGTTGACAAGCCTGGGACCAATAGAGAAGCTTTGTGATGAAGAAATGTTTTCTTAGTTATAAGGTTAAAATCTTAGCAATTAGTGTCATGTTTACTGTGACTACCATAAATAATCAGTGAATGTTATTTCCATTTACTATTAGTTAGAGGCAATTGGAGGGAGGGAGGGTCCTATAATAAGAGTATCTTGTTTATTTGTTTTCCACCTCAGTGTTACAGCATAATTATTCTCCATTGGCTTAAGACACTGATTATCAGGTTAAACAGGTACTAATGACTCAGTAAGTAATATACTCTGAGTCATACTGAAGTAGTCCCTAGAAGAATAGATATTGCATTTCAGATGTAGTAAAATTCAGGATTTTAAAACTTATTTGTAAATAAATGTTGATTTTTATAATACATATATATGGCATATAAACAGTGTAATAATAACTGCAAAGGTCCGGAAAACTTAACCAGCTAAGGCTTTAATTCTGCTATAAGGAAAGGAGTATTCTTGCTAAAGATGGTAAAAAACAGTAACTCAGAATGGATCTGTCTGGTAGGGAAGACATCAGTATAACCCTTTGTCTGTCTTGAGTACCTTTAGGTAAAATTTTAATGTTTGTGAATTAATATATATGTTCTTTTTTGGCAGCTGTCAAAAGTTTAGATCCAGTTTATATAATTTGCACATCACTGAATTTC